TTCCCTGCCGTGTTACAGAAGTTCCTCCAATATTGTCTTTTTGCATTCTTAACAACCATGGCTTGTTTTCTTTTATATTCAATTCGGTTCTGATAAATTGAATTCTTTTTCAGTATTTTAAATGCTTTATTTCTCAGTTTTATTGGTTCACTACCTTCATTTGTCCACCATGGCACCATTTTCTTTTTGCTCTGTCTTCTTCCTTTCTTTATTGAATGATTTGCTGCCTCCATTATTACTTTGCAAATATCACTGTTTATATTATTTGTATTCTTTGTCATATCAATTATTTCAAGATTTATATTGCTCATATATCTGAATTTAGTCCAATCTGCTTTATTAAATTTCCATTTTTCATTTATTTTTATATTATTATTAATGTCTATTGTTAATCCTGCTTTGATTGTTATTGGATAATGATCACTTCCTATTGTTGTATTTTTATCAATGTCCCATTCACAAACCCTTGATAATGAACTTGATACAAATGTTAGATCAATTAAAAGACAGGTTGGTTTTGTTGTGCTGCTTTCAAAAGAGTCGGAAATAGAAATTTATAGCTAAAAATTATCAATAAAACCTGTTATATAACTCTATAACTCGTAGTTATGGATGGACACATTCTATTAAAAATATACCTACTACTTTCTAGCTTTCTTTGAATTAAAAACTCCGCTTTGTTCATTTTTATTTTGTTTTGTAATACAAACGTTATAAAAGCGGGGGCAAACAAATTGTTACTTCCTTCAATAATTAGTTTTTGAGACATTTTCTTTTTTAGGTTTCAGGCTTAGAAATTCCGAGTCGTCTCAGGTACCCGAAAGCGGCATACACTAAATTAGGATTTTCAAAATAAAATGCAAACCTTGAGACCACAGTCTGTACAGTGTGAATTATATGTTAAGTGTCTGTACAGTGTTGATAACAGAGAGTCACGAACTTCCGGAAACAAATTCCTTGTGTGTGTGTCAACATACTTGGCCAATAAACCTGATTCTGATTCTGATTCTGATGAACAATACAGGCGTTCAGCTGACATTTCAGATTTCATTGTTTTATTTTGAAACTACAACATCTTACCGGAAGTAAGTTTGTTGTTRCAGTTTTATGTTGTAGCTTAGCTTCTTTTAAGTGAGATTTACGATAGAAACCTTATGTTAAGTTATATTTTAAGCTGATATGGCTAAAGAGCAACACTCCCACTGGGCGGATATTCTGAAGAGGAGAATAGCGAACTCCAAAAACGGTAAAGAATCAAAATTAAAGTTTGGGATAAAACTAGCTAAACTCACTGGGAACAMGAAAACAGGAAGAGCATTATTGTTTTACACAAAATAATTTTGAATAGTTATCTATTTAAGCTTTTATTTTATATATATAAAAAATTGTGTGTTGTGTAAAGACGAAAGGAACGAAGAGGAGAAGAAATCAGAAGAAACCGAWTTATTCACTAAATATTACACGGAGTGGAGAGGAGGGGTCGAGACAGACGAGTCCTACAAGACCATCCCACGATTTTATTATAAGGTAACCTTTAACACTTGTAACTGACGGTATTTTGGGGCCATTAAATAATACCTAAAGACGTGGTATTAATTGAAAACTTGATATGGTAGTAAAAATTACAGTGATGATGATTTGTGCAGCTTCCAGCAGAGGATGAAGTACTTCTTCAGAAACTGAGAGAAGAATCCAGGGCTGTTTTTCTCCAGAGGAAGAGCAGAGAGCTGCTAGAYAATGAGGAACTACAGGTAAAACACATACTTTGTTTTTTTCCTGTAACAACACTGCTTCGTTTACTTTTGTTTTGTTCGTTAACCTCTCTGTTTGTGTCTTTGTAGAATCTGTGGTTCCTGCTYGATAAACATCAGGTGCCTCCGGTGAGCGGAGAAGAAGCCATGATTAACTATGAAGCCTACCTGCAGGTGGGGGATAAGGCAGGACCCAAGTGCAGGTAGGCAACAACAGAAAATGTTTTCTTTGCAGAACAGGACAGAATTACACTTGATTAATGTCTGGGCTTAAAAGTACATAAAATTAGAAATTCATTAAGTGTTCACACAAGCTCAATGCGAAACACATTAATAAAAATATGTTTTTTTTTTCTTCAGAAAATTCTTTACAGCCAAAGTTTACGCCAAGCTGCTGCACAACGACCCCTACGGCCGAATTTCCATCATGCAGTTCTTTAACTACGTCATGAGGAAAGGTTTGGATACACTTTTCAGATTTTAGCAGAACGAAAAATTTKTATGGTGATCTTTTATAAAATAAATCAGTTCGATTAATAGTATCCTTAGTAACTGCAATGATTAGTAATAGTTGATCATCTCTGGTTTTACGTAGTTTGGCTGCATCAGACCCGAATAGGCCTGAGTCTGTATGATGTAGCAGGTCAAGGCTACCTCAGAGAGTCGGTAAGAGTCAAACGCTCGTGTGATATAAATATACAAATATGTTTTACGCTTTAATGTTGTGATGTTTATCAACCTCTGTAGGATCTGGAGAACTACATCCTGGAGCTGATTCCAACTCTGCCTCAGCTCGACGGACTGGAGAAGTCCTTCTACTCGTTCTACGTCTGCACAGCTGTTCGCAAGTTCTTTTTCTTCCTCGACCCGCTCCGAACCGGTGAGTAAAAAAAACAAACAAACTGAGTAGATGATCACCAGAAGAACTTCATATAACCCCAGAGCTACATTTATGTCACGATTCTTTGATTTTCTGTGATAGAGGGCATATTTTAGAGCAGCGGTTGCTGCATCTCTGTGGCATTTTAACTAAATGCGTCACAAACAGTTAAAACAACAGAATCTGATTCATTTGAAGTTTGATATTAGTGTCTCTAATGTCAAAAATGTTTTTTAACAGGAAAAATTAAAATTCAAGATATCTTGGCCTGCAGTTTTTTGGATGATCTGTTAGAGGTATAATTTTTTTTCAATCAAACGTTCTTCAACTTTCCATATTTATTTTTATTTTTACTCTTATGTAAATGTTCAGTAATGATCAAGAATCTAAATTTTGTTGTTGAAGTCTTTAAATACTACATTTGTAATGGGTAGTTTTTTTTTTTTGTCCTGAAATAACCCACATTTAATTCTCTTTCTCCGCTTGACATGTTTCCAGTTGAGAGACGAGGAGCTGTCTAAAGAAAGCCAGGAGTCTAACTGGTTTTCAGCCCCGTCGTCTCTCAGAGTTTATGGTGAGGAAACRCTCTGAAATGTTTGGGTTTGCTGTTTTGATCTCGTCGATTTGTTTTAAACCTGCGCCCCCAACAGGCCAGTATCTGAACCTGGATAAAGATCACAACGGTATGCTGAGCAAAGACGAGCTGTCCCGTTACGGCACGGCGACTCTTACTTCAGTCTTTCTGGACCGAGTGTTTCAGGAGTGTCTCACCTACGATGGAGAAATGGTACGAAGCCGCAGAATGTTTATTTGAACCAATCAAGTAGCAGAATTATTCCTCAGAGAACATTTGATGATGATTAACTCATATGTTAAAACAGTGTTTCCCAAAGTTGGGGTCGGGACCCAAAGTGRGGCCCCGAAACATCAAGGTGGGGTCCTGAAAAGATTTTTGGAATTAATTACATTTTTGCCTTAGTTGTTACAAAGGAGTGAGGTTAGTGTATTTAAAATGGATAAATGTAGTATAAAAATATTGTTACTATGCCCATGTTTAGTTCACCTGATACAAATGTTTATCATCCTAAAAATAGCTGGGGGCACAGGTCTCTGCTACTGTTATTTTGTGGGTCAAAAGCTGAAATGTTTGGGAACCACTACACTTTGGTTCCCAAAGTTGAGCTTGGGACCCAATTATGGGTCATGAAGCACCTTGGATAATCTCTGGAAATCAATTTAAAGGGTAATAAAATAACTGCTGATGTAATATTTTCCCTATAAGTATTACAAAAACTCAAAATAAGTATAAATAAGTATTTATATTTGTGTACAAGCTGTTTAGATTGTCAAAAAGCCTGTGTTTTTAGGGTTATTAACAAAGTTTGTGTACTCAGACCAGTAATATTTGGGGTCACAAGTTTTTGCCATGGATATTTTGTGGGTCAGAAGGTAAAAAGTTTGGGAACCACTGTGTTAAAGTGCCTGTGTCATCAATTTTTGTAATGCATATGAATGCATTTTTAGAAAGAGGACATTGATAAAATATTGCAAAAGAAATTTCATGTAGCTGAGATGAACAGTTGTTGAGATATTYGCCAGTGAAGTAACAGGAAGTGATGTCAAAGGGGAATGTCTGTATGTGAACAGAGTGTTGTTACAACAGCCAACAACCCAGACTGTAGAGAAGAATCTGATGTTAAGATTATTTTGAGTCTCTATCAGAGAGATGATGAAGAGTTCAAATAATATTGTTTCAATAAACGAAGACCAGAGAGTTTAATTTGTTAAAGAGTTCCCCTTTGATGTCACTTCCTGTTTCACTTTGGCTGGGCCAAGTTCAAAAGAAAATATGCCAGTTATGGGACAAAATGTGTTAAACCATGTGTATTGTTTCGTAAATATAAAGATGTTTTCTTTGACTTTTTGTATTTGAATAAAATGCATGCCACAGGCACTTTAAACATTTGTCTCAACTTTCTGGTCTTCCTCCTTTTTTTCCAGGACTATAAGACCTATCTGGACTTCGTGTTGGCCCTGGAGAACAGGAAGGAGCCGGCAGCGCTGCAGTACATTTTTAAACTTCTGGACATGGAAAACCAAGGCCACCTCAACGTCTTCTCCCTCAACTTCTTCTTCAGGGTACGACCTCACACCGAGACTCATCTTGCACCAGCTGTGTCAGAGCTTCAGGATGGTTTGTGTCTTTGTCCTGCAGGCCATTCAGGAGCAGATGAAGCTGCACGGTCAGGAGCCCGTCTCCTTCCAGGACGTCAAAGTAAATGCACCCACAGGTGAATCTTTACAGTGCTGCGTACTTCCTGGTTACCGTTCACTGTCGTGTGTCCCCTCAGGATGAGATCTTTGACATGGTGAAGCCCAAAGACCCCTACAAGATCACGCTCCAGGATTTGGTGAACAGCTGCCAGGGCGACACGGTGGTCAGCATCCTGATCGACCTCAACGGCTTCTGGACCTACGAGAACAGAGAGGTGCTGGTGGCCAATGACAGCGACAGCAGCAGCACAGCTGAGCTCGACATCACTTGAACAGTTAGGATCGTAGACACTGTGTTTTATTTCCTACAAAAATGTGAAATAAGAGGAAATGTATCATTTTTTCTATAAAGGACTTTTTTCCACCYTTTTTTCCCCTCAAGCTTCTTTCCTGAAATCAGATATTTTTATGACCCACTGTCATACATGTTTGTTTGCCTGCTTCCTCACACCTGATTTAAAAAATAATCTCAGAATGTCGAGTTTAACCAGAAGTCTGTCATCGACTCGTTCAGGTGGGCCTCAAGGACCTCTGCTTTAAACCGTTTAGTTTGTCCATATTCATGATTTATAAAAGCATTTTAGTGTAGTTGAATCTGATCTGTTTTGTTTTGGTCATTTATTTGTTTAAATTTTTTTTTTTTTTTTTTTTTTTTTTAATGAACGGGAACCATCTTGATTATTAAGTCAAATTCTACATAACTAAAACAGATTAAAAAGAGTTGTAAAACACAAATGAATGTGTATATTCTCTTTTTGGTTTTAAAATGCACTATTAAAGAAATAAAGTAATATTTTCACACAAGAGTATTTATAAAGTACCACAAGTAAAAGTACAAGTATCTTACGAAAAAAAATTTCTTTGGTAAAGTTTAGTCTCCTTTAGGAATATTA